ATAGAGCATGTTTGTCGGTCTCTCTCGGTGATATTTATCCGTGTTTTCTAGTATTAGTATATAAACCGCAATTTCTGAAATATATTGAAATTTGCTATACCGAGGGATTTGACGCAGGGGCGGACCTTGTGCGAAATGGACTGGATCGGCTCATATTTACAAACGCTCCATGTTTAGCGCCTTTTTTGAAAAATTCGCTACGTGAAAAAAAATTATTTTTTGTGCTCTTGTAATAGGTGTGCAAATAAATTTTGTTCATTAGTTGATAAAATTCTAATTTTTTTAAAATACACTGGGTACAAAGCCTTATAATCGAAACATTCACCATCATCATCTGTGGTCTGCTGCCTCTTATCGGATAGTTTGTGTATATCCTCATCGTAGAAATTTCCTAGTTCCGGGGTGAAAGAGCGATCGAACCATTTCCGCACACCTTCAACTTCGCAGAACAGCTGATCTACAAAATATCGATGTGAGCTCATAGTGGTCAGAACGAAAACGATGTTGTGAACATCTTGCAGGGAAGGATTTCCTGGGTTGCCCTTGCTGGAGACTGACAGACGCTTTCGATTGAAAGTGGACAGAATCCACTGTCCACTTTTCAACTATCTAACTACGTTTTCAATCCAAGTCAGCTTAATCGTTTCCATATCTTCACTTGAATTTTTTGCTCACTTTAATTCAGTTAAAAATAGAAAATACACAGTACTGTAAATGGCATCCATCTCTTTACACGTTGGTAGAACCTGAAAGACAGTTTGAAAACAACTAAAACTTATACCATACAAACAACAATGTCTTAGTTATCGGCAGTTGAAATTTCGGGAAAATTAAACAGGTCGCTTGTATACATTAACCGTGTTATAGGTTTGAATTTTTATTCGCTGTTCATTTAGTATACATGTGTATTCGTCATACCGCGTCTTCCCTTTAAGAGGGTTAAAATTTAACATTTTTTCACGAAACGCCTTTTTTTTATGCGATAAAAATTTTTTGTATTTTTTTATGGAAATCAATCTACAACAGTAATATAATGTACAAATTAATTGTACTACATTTGGACTATATAAGTCTATTTTTCGAATGCCACTTATGAAAACTAAGGCTTCGTATGACAACAATAGCTTGATACTTTATGCGAAAAATAGGTGAATAATAGTAAGTTGTCTGAAACGAAGCTCAATTTTCTGAAATCAAACCATTGTAGTTTACATTTTAGGTCCTCTTCCATATAAGAGCTCTCGTAAGTAGTATGCCTTTAAATGGGAACAAAGCAAAACAATTGTTGGTATTTTAACCCGCAATTCTAAATAGTTCTTCTCGCAGGAAATTGTAAGTATGCGCTAAATACTTTGTTGGTAAATACGAATTCCATTCGTTAGATTCCATTTGATAGATACACGAAAATTGTAAATGTGATTTCTTGTTGACTTTAATGGACCAAACAGACTTTTCTAATTTAATAAATCAAAGTTGGGAAACTGAAGAATTCGAGAAGGGTTTGAGCAAGTTGGTGTGTTTGCAAAAATTTTTATCAGCGACTTCTACAGATAAACGTGATAAAGAAATATATAATAAAATATATATACCCGCATACATAACGGCTAAATTCGATGGTTTTGACTTTCCTCTACATAAAATAACACTTTTCCTTTCAATATTATTGATTTACTCAGCGTACGCCGGCGCTAGTCGAAGAGCGCTCTAAATTCTTCTTCCGAATTCGCTACTCTTTTTATTTATTTGAGAAAATCTGCCGGCGAAACCCTCCAAACACGTCCAGAGGCTTACGGTGATGCTGCCCCATTATATAGCAATTGTTTGGTTTTGGCTTCAACAGTTTAAAAGCGGCGACACGTATTGACTGAAAATGCTATTTTTTGGCCACTTCTTGCAAGAGTTGTCCAGCATACACTACTACAGCTTGGATGGGAACCTCTACGACACTAACATCCGCCACCTTAACAGATTTACGATTAACAGAATTATGTCACTATATTGAAAGCAACTCTGCGCTTTCTCCATTCTCAACACGTGGTACTTGTTTTTATAAACCATGTAATGGAAAATCAATTTCATTTTCACAATATACATTATAAAATTGATTATTGAAGTAAACATACGGATGAGAACTATATTAAATATTATTTTAAAAAACTAACTGAAATGAAATATTTTCCTTTTGCGTAACCGCAGCTGTACGTTGATAGCGTGAATTTTGCAGTTTGTCTAATTTCTTTTGCGCTTGTCAAATGGCTTTGATTTCTCGCTAAACACCGTTAGCTAATTTTTTTGCTTTAAAAGGCTTATAAAAAAAAGTCCCCTGTGTTGAGAATAAAGACAGAACAGAGTTGCTTTGAATAAGTGGCAACGCTTTGAATGAACATGAACAAAAAGAATACGGTATTAACCAGATGTTCATATTATGAATACTTTTTTGCTAAACATTGAAAATTAAGGTCAAATCTCTGTTAAACATTGAAAGTTACGGTCCGATCTCAGTTAAACATTAAAAAAGGTCAGATCTCTGTTGAACATAATTATTTTAGACGATAAACTCGCAAACTTTAAAACAGAACAAAAAGAAATGCGCAATAAGAACGCTAATGTTTAAGAAAAGGACCTCCGTCAGAACATCAAACAAAACAAGATGAAATTAATTCGCAAAATAAGAGACTGGAGCTTTATCCAACCAGTTGGAAAAGTTGGAAAATCATAACGAAGAAAAATTGGTGCTTACGTATTAACGCCGGCGTGTCAAAAATTCCATCAAAAAACCGATAAAAAACAACGTTTAAAATAAGTGGTTTTGAAAAATTAAATTTAGAAATTAAGAGAAAATAGAACGATGTTAATAAAGAGCGCTCGGAAAGTAAAAATTCATCGAAAATTGTGATTTCGGAATTTTTAATTAAATGCCTCTTTGGTATAAATTTATCAGTAATTAAAAAACCGAAATGTAGGATCTTCGTTGGATTCTTTGGAATCCTTTTTGGTGATCCATTGGGATGCGAATGCTTGTCCGTCGAGATCGAAAGGTCTCCCTGCAATTGCAGTTCCATAAAGGTAAACACGCTGAAATTGTGTGGGTGGGCGCGCGTATTCGCAAACAGGCTATAGAATCTCTGCTGCTTTGGTGCTGTAATAGTACTTTATCTTTGAGCGTGCTAAGTTATCCATGAGTGTGCAAATATAGGACGGACACTGTGTATTTCCGGCAAAGTTAAATTATCCAATTTGGCATACGTCCCCTCACTCATAAGAAAAAAAAAAATACTTTACAACCGAAAATTTGTGCTTCTTTTATACATTTACTTAGATTTCTTCTCGGCGTCTTTAATTTCTCCCAACAACTCTATATACCCATCCACTTTACCGGCACAAACTCACATTTTTGATGTTTCGTTATGAATCGCAAAGGCACATGCATTGGCATTCCAGTACGCAAAGGGCCTAAACTACCCGATATTAGATGCAAAGGTTCAAATGAAAAGTTTGTATACCACGAATCAGCGGAAAAATGGGCAGACTTAGCTTCAAATTGCTTAAATCATCAAAAAAACCGAAAGAAAAAATCAACACTAACGCAAAACATGAACAATTTAGTTTTAAACAAAACCATCAGTTTGTGCTTCTACAAAGACGAGGGCTTATGTATTTTGTTGTTGCCAATTTAATATGAAAAATTAAAAACCAAAGTTCGGCAGTAATATTTATTTTTGGAACGTGTCTTATTTCATCGGTTTTTTTAACCTGTTTGGAGATGTCTTCAAACAATACAGTCTCGCTTTCAGAAAAGCAAACGTATACACACAATGATCGATATACGTTGTCGCAATTATAGAAATAACTGGCAAACACTTCCAGACAAGGGGTACAATTTCTAGACAAGAGGTACAATTTCTAGAGATCTTTTTAAAACCCTTCATAAAATGATTTATATTCATCTAGCCCATTGCCATTCTGGAGAAGAAACTGGGCCGTAACGAAGTTATAACTTCTCGTTTGTTTGCTACGACGTTTCAGTATTGAAAGTTTTGAAGCTAGAGAGAAACGATTTGTGCGAAATGCGTTCTTGACGGCTTATGAAAGGTGGAACCAACTTAGAAATTTTAGAGTGTTGCGTAGATCATTTACGCGTAACAGATCCAAGATATGTCGGATGAAAGGATGTAGTGTAGCCACTTTTACATGTACCTACTGACGAACGAACCCACGACCATTGACTTGCTAGTCGAGATTCCTCGCCTTCGGCTACTCAGGCGGATGTTTACACACTTATCTTTTAGACACTGCACTAATTTTAATTGTTTTATCAGGTTGTATCGAATTGTTATGGTAGAGTAGCGTACTTCTTGGCAGACTGAGTGAAGATGGTTCTGGTGATTCGGCCAACAAAAAGGAAATAACAAAATATCTTCTCTTTCTACATTTATCGGTGAAAGTGTTAGACTTGCCAATCATTTTTGATTTCATTCGAACTGAGCTGATTCGAATTTAACTGAGATCAACCTTCGCGCTGCAAATTTCTATTATATACTATACGTACTATATTATGTAGTAAACGTTTTTATTGCAAATCGTACGAATAAGTATAGGACTAAAACGGGGAAGAAACTTTGAAGCACGCAATCTGTTTGAGCACAACTTTCATTCCCATCATGATATTCACGGTGATGTGTCCTTAGGTGGATGGTCTCAGAAGGCTATTTGTCCTTTCCGTAATTATATCACTCTATTAAAATAAATTTTTCAAATTTTAAAAGTCGATTATTATATATTGTTATATGTGAATAACATACGAGGATTTCGAGTAGCGTTCTTATTATTGACTTAGAAAGAGTTTCTCTACATTTCATATTCATTTTAAACTTGTTGTTCTTGTTAATATTGAAACAATTGTTCTTTGTGCTATTATTCTCCATTGCGTAAATGGACTAAACAATAAAAAACAACAATATCGAAATCGCCATATATTGGCGGGTTATAGCAATCAGTCGCTAGTTAGACCGAATGATTCCTTTCAAGTTGAAACAGTATCGAAATGCTTGGAGTTAAATTTATAATTATTTTGGCTTTATTTGGAGCCATCACCTCAGCAGCTGACCAGGGGTATTTGGGTACATAAGAGGGAGGGAATATCTATTTGCGTTGCATTCCATTTTAATATTTAAAATTAATTTTCAAGATTCTCGAAATAAATTAATAAAAAGAGGTAGGAGGCACAGTTTGGGCGGCAAACTAGAACTGACTGAGAAGGAAAAGGAAGTTAATCGTATATTTATGAAACATAAAATTAATGAGTTATCACTAGCTTTTAATGACACTTCGCAAAATTCTCCGGCTATGCATTTCTTTAAGGCGAAAGATGTTATTGAAAATAATTTGTTATTACGTGTGCTTTTTAGTAATTTCCGAATGCATTGCAATCTACATATTGTTTAGTGAATTGTATAAATATTGTACGCTATGTTTACAAAAAGCATATAAGGATAATCGCTATGGCAAGCCATTTCCAAGTAGAATTATTAATCGTTTTCAACGGAAGCAGTGTATATATCGACCTAAATCCTCTTTATTTTATAATTCTTCGTAATGGAATTTTGAATAAACATTTCCGTTGAGTAGAGTTTAGCCTTGAAAGGGTAACGTTTTTATTACGCATTGTAAAATGTGAGCCGTTCGTTTTAAAAGTGGCATAATTAACTTGGTTCTTTTTTTGTTTGATTCTAAAATTCTTTTAAGATGAAGAAATTGTAATTGGCATTACTTTTAACTTGATTTTTTTTCAAATATGTCTTACGTTACTTTCAAAATGAACGGCTCATATATAAACCAAAACGTTTCCAACTGTAAGTCAATATAAATTTTAATGGTGATATATTTTATAAGTGATTTTCATAAGGTGAGCAGGTTTGCTCATTTCAATTTGAGGTTTGTAACGTAGAAATACGCGATAGAGATCTATTTTATTAGTTTGGGGAAAAGGAAAGCCATTATTTTTATATGAACTTCAGGACTTTATTTAACATGCTTCGGATTGTCCGATTTGTGTCAAATATGCACCGTTTTATTGTATGATTTGTTGCCATTTTAAAGGTAACTTCAAAATGCCTCTCTCATAGAAGTCCTGGTCTCTATTTGCAAAAAACTCTAGTAGTCGATTTTCACAATCCTCCCTAGATTTCAATTTTTTTATTATTAAAGAAATTTTGCAATGCAAGAAAAAGATGATAATCGCTTGGTGCCAAGTCCGGACTGTATGGCGGATGCATTAAAACTTCCCAACCAAGCTCCCGAAATTTCTGGCGAGTCACTGTAGATGTGTGTGGCCTAGCGTTGTCCTAGTGGAACACGATACCTCTCCTGTTGGCAAATTCTGGCCGTTTCTGGTCAATCGCTATCTTCAAACGGTCCAGTTGTTGACAGTAGAGATCAGAATTTAGCGTTTAGCCATATGGAAGCAACTCATAATAAATAATCCCCTTCCAGTCCCACCAAATGCATAGCAAAACCTTCCTGGCCGTTTGAGGTGATTCACCGCTCTTTGACCACGATCGTTTTCGCACAGGGTTATCGTATGTGATCCATTTCTCATCTCCAGTCACCATCCGTTTAAGAAATGGGTCTATCTCATTCCGTTTGGCCAAGGCTTCGCAGATGGAAATTCGATCCATCATGTTTTTTTCTGTTAATTGGTGTGGCACCCAAACATCGAGCTTCTTTTTGAATCCAGCTTTGTGTAAATGGTTTAAAACTGTTTTATGGTCGATTTTTAGCTCCTGGGCGATGTTACGACTGCTAACATGCCGGTCAACTTCGATCATTTCTCCGATTTTATCGACATTTTCGACGACCGGCCTACCTGTGCGAGGTGCATCTTTAACATCAAAAATTCCTGAACGGAATCTACGAAACCAAAATTGCACATAATTGGCTATTGCAGTATCGGAACCATAAACACGATTCACAATTTTAGCCGCCTGGCTTGCATTTTCGCCTTTGTCAAAGAAAAACTGTAAAATGTAACGAATTTTCTCTTTGTTCACTTCCATTTTTAACACGCTGTAACTCACAACTGAATGCACCAAACAAAAAACAGCAAAAGAATTTTTTGCACTGCGAAATGTACAGTATGTAAATGTACAGTGTCGGAAATTGTTTGATCGATACTTTACGAGAAATCTATCAGTGCAGCCATCTACCGAAAAAATAATGGATTTCTTTTTCCCCAAACTAATATATACTTGATGAAGCGAAATTTTGATTGGATCTAGGTATATTTATATATCCAATGGACTTTTCTTCACATTCGCACCCACTTTTAAAATAGCTTAAGTATATTTCGTCCAACGCGTAGGGCGAATTCGGAAATGTGCACGATCCACACACATGTATATAGCAGTTAAAAAACCAAAAAAAATCTAGAAAAGCCGAGATGTGGGGAAAAATGTTTTTTAAGATCGATGTAAAACTTGGTAAATATATATACATCGGGAAGTTGTTAGTTATTAATTTTAGTTAGTATTAGATGTCTTGCATTCAAAATATTTACTAATCTTCACATATTTTGGTTTTCTTATGTATTTGTGAGTTATCGTTCGCATAAAACACACAGTATAAGAAAACTTGACCTAATCAAGGTGCCGTTATTTTGAATTTTTTATTTTTCTTTCTAAATAAATAATTTCGCCAGCACCGCACCTACATTTAAACTATATGCATATTAGATACAAATAAAAATATTGTTACTTTGAATTCTCCGAAAAAAAAATCAAGTGTAAGCAAGTTTGTACTGTTTTGCAGTATGAAAAAAGCCAAGAATAATTGCTGCCGACACTGACGTCAACCGCGCGAATGTTAAAAAGGGCAAGGGACAGCTGTAGGGATTCACGCAAAATGGTCCATGAAATTCTTTATGCTCACTACAACGCTTACATTAGATTTGCTAGATTTGCAATCAAGACTTCATAAAATGCACAAATTCCCGATAAAATTGAAGAGCGGACGCGATTTAAACGTGATAGTCAGTCCTTTTATCTCTCTGCCTTTAGGCATCTTCTTTTGTTCTTCGTACGTAAGCCAGTTCATTCTCAATTTGTTTGTTATCATTCTCGCAAAATTTCAGCTGAAAAATCGGCCCAGAAATTTGATCACTATTGTCCAAAAATTATAAAATGTTTATTTAGAGTTGAACACGCGCTAGATTTTTCTTTAAAAGAAATTTCTGCGTCATGTTCAAAATTCAGCGAATCCCGACCAAGAAACCACGAAAAGAAGCGTAGCCATATAATTCTAAATATACAAAAAGGGCCGAATATATAAATATGAATATTTTATTTTGTACAATTCCCAATAAAGTGCCGCCAAATGATGATTAGAAAGATACGCTGCATGGAACAAAATTTTTTTTTTCGTTTTTATCTTAATTTGCAATTAACAGATTTCGTAAAAACATTAACAATTCTTGCACATGTACGGAAAAGAATGTAAATCACTGAGTTAATCTGATACACGTATTTTTATGCATTCGCAACATCACAAATTGGCGACGAGAATAATTCGGTCTATATAAGTCTTACGTCAATTAAGTAAAAATTTTTTATAATACAGCATACTCAGTGAAATTTTGTCCAACAAAAGCGAAATGAAATATATGGAAGAAGAGGCTAGACATTCATTTTTGCGAAATAAATTGCCAAGAAGATGAGGTCAAGAAAGCCACCTAGAATCATTTAGAGAAAGAAAAAACTTTCGTTATACGATAACAGGCGAAGCAGTTGCGGGATGGTTCGCCAAAGTGCAAAAGTTAACTACAGATAACACGGGCGCCTTCTGCACATTGCTCTCTGCATAATTTTGGGAAGACATGAATTTAAACCCGGAGTTTAGAAAGTGCAACAATTTTTAGGTGAACTATGGGTGTGACCGCATATCAATTTATGTTGGTGAGTACGACGAAAACACTATTCAACGAAAGGATTGGTGTTGTACCGTTAGATATACTCCTTGGCACTCATTTCGCAATCAATTAGACTCTTATAATAGTACCAGAATTTCATTGAACGTCGATCAAAGTGGGAAACCCATTTTCTGTATTGGCACTCTGCTGGAAAACAAAAATACGACAAGGGCTGAATGATCTACTCGCATTAGGTTTCCAGAGGGAGTAGGTAACTCAGATTTGGATGCACCCTTGGTACCAGTTTTGAAAGAAAATGAAGACGTTCGCGTATGCGCTATATTGACATCCTTAGGAAACGGTATAATTTTTACTAGACTTAAATACCGGAAGCATATATCAAAAAACAATGGAAAATTTACCATATTGTTGTATATCAGTATGGTATAACAGTTTGCGAAAAGGATTTGCAACACCTTGCTAAATCGTTAAGAGCGGTTTTACAAAAGTTGCAGACCAGCGGTCTTACACTAAATGAAAAAACAATTCTCATTCTTCCAATTTAAAATATCATATGTAACACTTACGATTTACGGCAATGGATTAACAAAAGTTAGTAATCCTATATCAAAGATAACGACTGTACCCATTTCAAAAAGTATTTCTGAATTAAGAGTTTTCATCGCATTGGTTAATTATTACTGAAAGTTCATATAAAATTTTGTTCAGAAGATGGGATAGAGCATTTAAATCCTACAACAACAAAAAGCAAGTTACAAGAAATAGATAAAGAGTCATAACCTACTGGATGGAAGCGACTATGAAGTCACAATAAGAAAGAAGTAAAATGTAATCTACATGAAGTACTGAATAACAGGAATTTACGGGCGAGCAGTAACTTGAAAAATGTGCAAAGGGACTCATGACATGCATTCGGCAATTTTTACGCACGCACAGAAGATAATAAATCGAAAATCGAAAAAATTAACAAACGTGTTTTCTAAGAGACACGGAATGTACCGCACTGTGACATTTTTTTTATTTAATACCCCAAAGTCCATAAGTTCATTTTCGAAAAGATTCAGTAAGACAGATATATAGTTAGTATACTTGAAGCCGTGGCAAGGTAAGTACGAAAAATGTAAACGCAAACAAGGAATAGAAGGTTCGTTTTTAAATTTTTTAATTAATCCGTGTGTTGGTTCACACGGCAAAGTGTGTTGATTTATGTGGCAATGGCAATGTGCGCCGTTCATTTAAACATGGAATATAAGATAATTTATTTGATTTTTTTTTTTTTTCCTTTAATTCTTTTTAATTAAAGTTTTTTTTTTTTTTAAATGAAAAAATGATGTAAATAACAATTTTAAAAAGTTAGTAAACTCACCTTATACTCGAATAGGGTTCGTTATCCTGCTTTTCAAACGTATTGAATGACTGCGTAACAAATTTAATTGAAACTCTAATAATGTCAATTATCGTAATATATAATTTCACCTCATTTCACTGTGTGTTTCTACTTTACAAACACTTCATGCCGCAA